CCAGCCTGGCCAAGATGGTGAAACCCCTGTCTCTACTAAAAATAAAAACAAATTAGCTGGGCATGGTGGCAGATGTCTGTAATCCCAGCTACTCAGGAGGCTGAAGCAGGAGAATCACTTGAACTTGGAAGGCAGAGGTGGCAGTGAGTTGAGATCACCCCACTGCACTCCAGCCTGGGCAACAGAGTGAGACCCAGTCTGAAAAAGAAAAAAAATCTTGTTATGGCTAGGCATTGTGGCTCACATTTGTGAGCCCACAAAGTCCCAGCACTTTGAGAGGCTGAAGCAGGAAGATGGCTTGAGCTTGGAAGTTCGAGACTAGCCCAGGCAACCAGCAAGATCTCTTCTCATTTAAAAAAAAAAAATGTAAAAAAAATCTTGTTACAATTTTAATTGGATTCGCTTATAATTTATCAATTAATTTAGGAAGGCATGATATATTTATATTAACTCTTCCATCCAGGATTGTGGTGTATTTCTTCAATGATTTGGAACTTTTAAAATTCTGTAATCCTGTATATTTTTCTTCTTACAGGTCTTGCAGATTTCTTATGAAATTTATGTCTAGTTATGGGTTTTGCTGGTATTGTTCATGGAATTTTTTATTTCAGATTTTGTTTCCTAATTACTCAGATTAATTTTCCAATACCTACCACCAGCTCTTTCAAGGCAGCTTATTGGGGTTAGTGGTAACAACTCTTCTCTTGGAGATAGTCTTACTTGTCTGTATAAAGAAACATGCCATGTTCCAGGACAGAATGTACTGCTCTTAGGATGAATGGAGAGCAACATCCCTGTCGTCTGCCATGGTTGTCAGCCTTCCTTCAGGTGAGTTTGGCCTGTGATTTTCTGTCCTGTTTGGGCCTCAGGTTATCTGAAAGGAATCATATTGAAGAGGGTGTTTCTGAATTTCCATGTTCTCATGTTTTTAATTCTTCACAGCCTACTTCAAACATTATTTGTTCTTGCTTCTGCCTCTATCTTTCAGATATTAGATGTAGTCAAAAACACTTGACTTTCTTCCAAACACAGTTAGGTGGACTGAATTCCAGTCCCAGCTCTGCACCGATGTGTGAGAATTCAAGTCAGTCAGTTACCTTGGAGGTCTGTGTCGTCCTCTGTATCATGATGGGGGTGGCTTGATGACTGCTAAGAAGCTAACAGATGCCAAGAGACAGCAAAGTCAAGGGGAAAGGCCTTGGGCTCTGCAGACACACATCATGGAATTGAATGTTGGCTATCCAATTCTTTGTAGTGTGTGGCTGTGGGCAAGTTGGCATGTACAACTGCCTGTTTTCTGTGTTAAATTGAATATATCAACACCCATGATGGCCAAGCGCAGTGGCTCATGCCTATAATCCCAACACTTTGGGAGGCCAAGGAGGAAGGATGGCTTGAGCCCAAGAGTCTGAGATCAGCCTGGGAAACATAGTGAGACCCCATCCCTACCAAAAATATTTTTAATTAGGCATTTTGTTTCAAAAATTTCAGAGAAAGGCACCGGTATCTAGAGTCTTATTTGAGGGGCAATCTTCCCACCTCAGCTTCCCGAGTAGCTGGGACTACAGCTATACATGGTGGTACATTCCTGTAGTCCCAGCTACTTGGGAAGCCAAGGTGGGAAGGTTACTTGAGCTGGGGAGGTCAAAGCTGTAAAGAGCTAAGTCATGACTCAACACTTGTACTCCGGTCTGGGTGATAGAGACCCCGTCTCTAAATAAATAAATAAATACATCCACTTCACATGAGCATAGTGAAGACTAGGTAGAAACACCTATTACCTTGTATCCAGCACTGTTCTTGGTGCTTTATGTGTATTAGCTCCTTTAATCTTTACAACACTAGAACCTTCATTTCACAGTTGATAGAAACAGGTACAGAGAGGGTAGGTATCTCACTTGCCAGTCATACCCCGCTATGAAATACTCACATGTGGCAATGTAAAGCACACACAATATTTGGCACATATAAACTCCATCAATTAAGTCATCCATTGCAGTTCTGAAACTGTAATTTTTCGTATTTTGACATCTCCCTTCACAGACAGCTTTGGAAACGTTTTCTGTGGTTTTTGAACTCCACTTTTAGTTCTGACTCACACAGTCACTTTATCCTAACCACTTCCTGCAGCATTAAGAATTGTTTCCAGCTGCTAGTTTCTGCAGAGGATTGTCCTTAGAGGGTGGGGTGTCCACTGTGGTTCCAGTTGCAGCTCTGGAGCCAACACATGAAGATGCCCTCTGCAGGACAGTAAGAGAAATATCACATGAGGTTGGCTGAGATACGTGCCTTGGCACTGTCTTTGTTTCAAAGAACCAAAGCTTTCTTGGGCGAATGGCCTCTTAGTCATTTCAGCTTACCTCAATCGCATTTTTAAAATTTCAGTTTCTGCTCTGGAGCTTCAGGGGAATTGAGGCATGAGACAATTATGCCCTAAAGAACAGTCTGTCTACATAAATTTTATGCCTGCAGAGTGTGTATATGTGTGTGTGTGTGTATGTATGTGTTAGGAGATAGGTCTGGGATGTGTTTCGTTCAGTACTAGCTCAAGGTTCCTTATTTGACTTGCTAATTTAAACTCATTCTACTTTGGAAACCTCTAATATTTTTTCTCTATGAGGAAAGTCTGCTTTTAAAAATCATTTGCCTAATCTTATGCACCCCAGTGAAACAAAGTCCCAGGCAATAAATTTGTAAAATTTTCTGTTATAAAAGTAATGGAGCAAAATATGAAGTTTCTCCTCTAAAATTTAGCTTGCCATATTTTATTTTGCTTTATTATTTCACACTGAGCATGTATTTGTGGGCTATGTTTCATGAGTCATAAAACTTTAAAATGCTCATTGAAAAAAATTAAAACAGCTGGGCACAGTGGCTCACGCCTGTAATCCCAGCACTTTGGGAGGCCAAGCAGGTGGATCACGATGTCAGGAGTTCAAGACCAGCCTGGTGAAACCCCATCTCTACTAAAAATACAAAAAAATTAGCCGGGCGTGATGGCGGGTGCCTGTAATCCCAGCTTCTTGGGAGGCTGAGGCAGGGAATTGCTTGAGGCCAACTCCTACACCCAATTCTACTCTCTAGAGGTAGCCATATTTGTTTCTTTTCTTTTAAGATGGGGTTTCACTATGTTGGTCAGGCTGGTCTTGAACTCCCGACCTCAGGTGATCCACCCGCCTTGGCCTCCAAAGTGCTTGGATTACAGGCGTGCGCCACCACGCTCGGCCAGCTGTATTTATTTCTTCGTTTCCCTCCAGATAAATTTTAACTTTTTTGTTGTTGTTGTTATTTACAAATATGGGATCATACTATCTTCACTGTACTGCAAACGTGCTTTTTCCATTGAATAATACATAGACCATCTTTGCACATTAGCACACAGAAATTCACTGCACTGTTTTCAGTGGATGCAGTGTAGTCCATGGAATGGATTTACCAAAACTTATTCAGCCAGTGCTCTGGTGACAGACATTTAAGGGATTTATAGTTTCTGACTAAATGGCAAGTGTGGCAGGCGGGGAAGTGTTCTAGGATTATCACTATGATATGTGTACGAAAGTGCCCCTGAGACTACCATGAAGGTGAATACAGCCTCCTTATGCTTACCTGAAGACAACAGTCTTGACGGATAGAACTTCAATAGAATGTAGGACCTAGAAAAACAGACCATCTAGCTGGTTTTCCAAGATTTTTTGTGGGCTGCAATACGGTTGGATCAAAGGAAATCCTTCTTGACGGTTCAATACGTAAAACACTTAAAAAGTAGTGACTGGTCTGGCATTAGTTGGGGGAGGTGGGGAGGAGGAAAGAGGGCTATGCCTATGAAGCTCCTGAAATAAGAAACCAGATGCATGTGCTTTCTCTGAGCCAAACCATTACCTCTCTGGCTCATGTTAGTAGATTTTTCCAAAGGAAACTGTACTCCAGGGTTCTGAGGGGGTAGAGAGTTTGAGAATCCTTGCTCTAGCCTGCCTCTGCTGATTGAGAAAACGGTAATGCTGCTGTTGGGCTGAAATATCTGTTCCTTTCACAGCTTTTGTCATAACTGGTAACTACCGTTTCTCTGTTCTCGGCCTCCTTGGAACAGGGGTCTTGCCCGACACGTGCACACTCGCACGTGGCACAGTAAGTGGGACACAGCAGGCACTCGGAAAGTATTTGCTGTAAACATAAATGAAGAAGGGCGACAGGCTAATAAAGGGTGGAAGGCTTTTGGGGTCAGTACAGCCCCGGGACGTCCCATTCCCGTGGGCCGCCTGACGCCAGGAAACGCCAACTCCACTTCGCCGCGCCGCGCCCGGGATACCAAAGACTGCAACAACTCTTTCCCGATATACGGCGCGCGGCAACTCCGGCGAAAAGCAGCTATAGGCTGTCGTGGTTGCCAATCACACCAACGGCGCTGCGACTCGGAGACCTCGGAGACACGGGTTCCAGTCCATCCGCTCTCCAACTGGCTCGCGTGCTCCCGGGGCACTCTGGGAGACGTGTTTCTGGGAGTGGTCCGCGCAAGTGCATGCGTGAGGGCGGGGCGTCGGGGGTCCGTCTGGCGTGTCCGTCGCGCCTTCTATGAGCCCCTCGGCAGACGCTGCCGTGGGGCCGGCCCTCCCTCAGTCAGCACCGGACCCCGGTGGGAATTAGGCGCAGGTCGTGTCTCGCTTGACCCCAGCGCGTCCTGGCGCCCTGCGGACACTTCCTCTTTATCCTCGGTCGCTCTTCCAGCATGTCTTCTTCCCCAGGCCCCTTCTCCTCGGGATGAAGGGCCAGAGAGGGGCTGCCGGACCAGAGACCCCCGGGGTGGCGCCGCCCTCCGCTCTGGCTTGGGGTTCGCTGGGCATCGGCGGGAGGAGTCCTGGAGGGAACGGCTGTGCGGGGACGGGACCTCCTCCTCCCCACAGACGCGCCCCTGACAGTCGTGCCATGGCTCTGCGGACGTCCGAGGACGCAACTGGCGGTTCCTCCCGCGGTGCCCGACACGGTTACCTCTCCGAATTGCCGGAGCAACGCATTTGGTAGGAAACGGAAACAGAAACATGAACTAACTTTCCCACGTCACATGGCCCCAAGTATTTGAGTCTCGTATTTCCCACATTTCGTGGAGCTTCCAGACTCGTAAACAGTTGCAAAACAAGGTGATGAGTGGGAATGACATAAGCACGGGGCGGGGAGAGGAAGTGGGCAGCACCTTAGAGGACAGGATTCAACAAACGGAACCTCAAAGGGGGCAGTGTCAGTGCTGCTTCGTAGTTGGTGAGAAAACGCAGGGCTGGGCACGGTGGCTCAGGCCTGTAATCCCAGCACTTTGGGAGGCCGAGGCGGGCGGATCACGAGGTCAGGAGTTTGAGACCAGCCTGACCAACAAACATGGTGAAACCCCGTCTCTACTAAAAATATAAAAATTATCCAGGTGTGGTGCTGTGCACCTGTAATCCCAGCTACTTGGGAGACCGAGGCAGGAGAATCACTTGAACCTGGGAGGTGGAGGTTGCAGTGAGCCGAGATCATGCCACTGCACTCCGCTTGGGCAACAGAGTGAGACTGTCTCAAAAAAAAAATAAAAATAAAAGATGAAACAAATTCCCTGCACTCACTAACCCTATTATTCTGCTATTTTTCCTCCAACTTCCTTATCACTTCTGTATACATTATGTATTTGTTTATATCAGTTTACACTTTCCTATAAGAATGTAGGCTCAGGCCAGGTGCAGTGAACCACACCTGTAGTCCCAGCACTTTGGGATGCTGACAGGTGGATCACCTGAGGTCAGGAGTTTGAGACCAGCCTGGCCAACATGATGAAACCCTATCTCTAATAAAAATACAAAAACTTGCCAGGCATGGGGGTGGGTGCCTGTAATCCCAGCTACTCAGGAGGCTGAGGCAGAAGAATCACTTGAGTCTGAGAGGCGGAGGTTGCAGTAAGCTGAGACAGTGCCACTGCACTCCAGCCTGGGCAACAGAGCAAGACTTGTATTTAAAAAAAAAAAAAAAAAAAAAAAAAAAAAAAGGGGGCTCTTCTGAGTGGGCCAGACGCGGTGGTTCACACCTGTAATCCCAGCAGTTTGGTAGGCCAAAGCAGGCAGATCATTTGAGGCCAGGAGTACGAGACCAACATGGTAAAACCCCGCCTCTACTAAAAACGCAAAAATTAGGCAGGCATGGTGGTCACGGGCGCCTGTAATCTCAGCTACTCAGGAGGCTGAGGCAGGAAAATCACTTGAACCTTGGAGGTGGAGATTGCAGTGGCATGATTGCACCACTGGGCAGCAGAGTGAAATACCATCTTAAAAAAAAAAAAAAATGTGGGCTCTTCTGAAGGGCATTTTTATCAGGAAAAAAAAGAATGTGAGCTCTGCAAGAAATTTTCTTCTGTTCACTTCTGTATCCATACTACCTAGAATAGCACCTGGCATACAGCGGGTTCTCTGTAAGTATAAGTAAATGAATGGCCTTGCGGTGTCTCTTTCTAGCTATATGTTTAACATATCAATTAACCCATCTAAACAGGGTGGACAGCTGTCTCAATTTCTCAGGACTGAGGTCATTCCCAGAACTAGGCTTTCAGTGCTAAAACTGGGCAAATTGGGTTTTGGTCCCAGGCAAGATGTGTTGGTCACCTACCTCTAAGCCTAAGTTTCCTCATCTATCAAAAAAATAGTATTTTCCTCACAAGCCTAAGTGAGCCTCAAATGAGAGCATGTGTGTAAAATGCTGGGCCTGTGGTCTAGGACATCACAGACTTTCGAAGCTTGACTTGTGTTTTGACAACCTGTCGTTTTTGGCTTCAGCCATGGTAAACCACCTGCCTACCCTTCAGACTGTGGGCCAGGCCCATGTCCAGCACCCTGCCTGTAGCCATCTGCGATGGTTCAAGGCCACCATTTTCTTTTTCCCTTTCTTTTTTTTCTTGAGATGGAGTTTCACTCTTGTTGCCCAGGTTGGAGAGCAGTGGCACCATATCGGCTCACCGCAACCTCTAGGTTTAAGCAATTCTCTTGCCTCAGCCTCCCGAGTAGCTGGGATTACAGGCATGTGCCACAGCACTCGGCTAATTTTGTATTTTTATTAGAGGTTGGGTTTCTCCATTTTGGTCAGGCTGGTCTCGAATGCCTGACCTCAGGTGATCTGCCTGCCTCAGCCTCCCAAAGTGCTGGGATTACAAGCGTGAGCCACCGCGCCCAGCAAGGCAACCATTTTTTTTTTGGCCATTTTGACATAGGCATTTTAGTGCACCAAAGTATGGTTTGATTTTTGATGGAGCCCCTATGGCACAGCAACGTTTACACTTGACCTTTTAAAACAAATCATTAACCCTTTAGGTTTCTGAATTTTTTATTTATCAAGGACTGTGCTGTACAAAACATAATCTCAGCACTGAAGTGACAGCTATCACTGTGATCAGGGGCCAGCTGACAGACAAGCCATGGATGACCAAGGGGCCTTTCTTTCCAGCTTGCTCACCCCAGAGAGGACTGTGGAGTGATTCTAAGCAAAGTGTCTTAGAATATAGTTCGGTGCCTGGAAATTCACTTAAAATTTGAATGATTAGCCTCTCAAAGGCTCAGATCTCTCCCTTAAAATTAAATTTACCGGTAGTATGGAGGAGTTTGTGTCACAGTGGGATTCATTATTCTCCACTCCAAATCAACATGGGAAATCTTCCACAACCTTCTAAACAGCTCTGTCCATTATGTCAACAACAGATCTATTATATTTCAATATTATACACCTCCTTTATCGTGATGGTTTAAGAGCATATAACTGATACTCCTTTAGAAGTTAAGCTCATTATGAAATACCTTTTTTTTTTTTTTTTTTTCTTCAGAATCTTGCTCTGTTACCCAGGCTGGAGTGCAGTGGTGCAATCTCAGCTCACTGTAACCTCCGCCTCCCAGGTTCAAGCAATTCTCCTGCCTCAGCCTCTGGAGTAGCTGGGATTACAGGTGCATGACACCTCACCTGGCTAATTTTTGTATTTTTATTAGAGACAAGATTTTGCCATGTTGGCCAGGCTGGTCTCAAACTCCTGACTTCAAGTGATCCACCCACCTCGGCCTCCCCAAATGCTAGGATTACAGGCATGAGCCACTGTGGCCGGCCTGAAATAGTTTTTAAAGCTATCTTTTTTGCTTATTATGAAAATAACACAATCTTCATTTTTTTTAAATCCCCAAATGTGCAGAAGTAAATGCCATAGAAAGTGAAAGCCCTGGTGACCAGGAATGGAGTGAAGGTCATGGTGTCTGAGCTGCACATTACCCAGGAATAACAGCAGAGAGTAGACCCATTGCAGCAACTTTGTTGGGCTTGATATAAAGTCACACATCCAATGGCAAGGGCACAAAAGAGAGCCCATGACCATTCCACTTTGATTATTAAACACTTAAATGACATTACAAGGGCAATAATTGTATTTTCACTGTAATAAATTACTGGATCCCCCCCCACAAACAAAAGCTTTGTGAGCCTTTCTTGCCCTAGAAACTCCCAAGTGGCATCAAAACATTGCCTTCTAGAAGTCCCGCCTCAGAACTCTTTCTGTTGCAAAAAGTGTCACCACAATTGCAAAATGTCCTGATTTAAACCGGAAAGTCCCGTTCCCTGCCCAATTCTGTCATGGGGTTTTGGTCTCAGCTCTGAGAAATTTTCTGACCAGTCAAGATGGGATCCCACAGCACCCATAGCGTCACTACAGAATCTCATCTTTCTCCATCTGGGAGTCTGCCTGGGAGGGGCTGGTTTCCCACCATCCAGAGTCAGGGACAAGTGCTGGTCCCAGTGATACCCCAGTCAACACCCTTCTTCGGGCCCAGCCTAAAAATTCAAAAAATCTGCTGTCTGTACCATTAATGTGCATTTCAGTTCACTCCCTTTATTTTTCTTTTTTGGGACTGGGTGTTTTGCTGTGTCACCCAGGCTGGAGTGCAGTGGTGCAATCATAGCTCATTGCAGCCTCAACCTAGGCTCAAGCAATCTTCCCACCTCAGCCTCCTGAGCAGCAGAGACCACCAGTGTGTGCCACCACACCCAGGTAATTTTTTTTATTTTTTGTAGAGGTGGGGTCTCCTTATATTGCCCAGGCTAATCTTGAATTCCTGGGTTTAAGTAATCCTTCTGCCTCAGCCTCCCAAGGGCTGGGATTACAGGTGTGAGCCACCATACCTGGCCCAATTCACCTACTCTTTAGGGAAGATGTTGGGTTTGGGGGTTACAGATCAGAAGGATCTAGTGAACTGCATGTTTATTATCAGCTATGAAAACAAAGCAGGCTGAAGGCATTGGCTCACGCTTGTAATCCAAACACTTTGGGAGGCTGAGGCAGGTGGATCCCCTGAGGTGGGGAGTGTTCAAGACCAACCTGACCAACATGGAGAAACCCATCTCTACTAAAAATATAAAATTATCCAGGTGTGGTGGTGCGTGCCTCTAATCCCAGCTACTTGGGAGGCTGAGGCAGGAGAATTGCTTGAACCCGGGAGGCAGAGGTTGCAGTGAGCTGAGATTGCACCCTTGTACTCCAGTTTGGGCAACAGCAAAACTGTCTTTAAAAAAAAAAAAAAAAGGAAAGAAAGAAAAGAAAACAAAGCAAAAGATCAAATATTCTGTGAGATAGAAAACTGGTAGACCGGCTGGACAATAAGTTAAATTCAACCAACCAGAGCTCATCAAAGCCTTGAATCGCAGGCTGGGCACACACAGAGGTGCTCACACTCAGAGTTGTTTGTTCAGCTAGGTATCAGAATGTTGTGACTGACCTGTGGAAGTGACCCATCCTGGACCTCAATGGCCAGCTGGAAATGTGACATCCATGGGTAGTCATGGGTAGTAAAATCATAAATTATTGTCACGCAGGGGATGATGTTGTGAAGTGATGAATGTTTGGATCCTGGCTCTGGGCGTCATTAAGTTACAGATTCTTGGTTGCACAGGGGGATGAATGACAAACCCAGCCCTGTAGAATGCTGCAGAGATTCTGGGAGGTAGTGTTTATAAAGCAAGTGGTGGCTGGTGCAGAGGGTAAAATGCATTATTTATTTTTTTTTTTTTTGAGACGGAGTTTCACTCATGTTACCCAGGCTGGAGTGCAATGGCGCGATCTCGGCTCACCGCAACCTCCGCCTCCTGGGTTCAGGCAATTCTCCTGCCTCAGCCTCCTGAGTAATTGGGATTACAGGCACGCACCACCATGCCCAGCTAATTTTTTGTATTTTTAGTAGAGACGGGGTTTCACCATGTTGACCAGGATGGTCTCGATCTCTTGACCTCGTGATCCACCCGCCTCTGCCTCCCAAAGTGCTGGGATTACAGGCTTGAGCCACCACGCCCGGCGTAAAATGCATTATTAACAAAACTTCTGGCTGGTGTGATGGCTCATGCCTGTAATCCCAGCACTTTGGGAGGCAAAAGTGAGTGGATCGCTTGAGCTCAGGAGTTCAAGACCAGCCTGTGCAGCATAGTGAGAGCCTGTCTCTATAAAAACTACAAAAATTAGCCAGACGTGGTGGCATGTATTTATAGTTCAAGCTACTCTGGAGGCAGAGGTGGGAGGGTGACTCGAGCCCAGAAGGCAGAAGTTGCAGTGAGCTGAGATCCCACCACTGCACTCCAGCCTGAGTGACTAAGCAAGACCCTGTCTCAAAAAAGAAAAAAAAAGTTATGCAAAGATCAGAAGTAGGTAACTGAGGAGTCAGTTCACCTCACATGTAACTTATTTATTTATTTTGGGACAGAGTCTTGCTCTGTCACCCAGGCTGGAGTGTAATGGTGCTGCAATCTGAGCTCACTGCAACCTCCACCTCCCAGGTTCAAGCAATTCTCCTGCCTCAGCCTCCTTATTACAGGCCCACACCACCACACCTGGCTAATTTTTGTTTTTTTGTTTTTTTTTTTGAGAGACGGAGTTTCGCTCATGTTACCCAGGCTGGAGTGCAATGGCGCGATCTCGGCTCACCGCAACCTCCGCCTCCTGGGTTCAGGCAATTCTCCTGCCTCAGCCTCCTGAGTAGCTGGGATTACAGGCACGCACCACCACGCCCAGCTAATGTTTTGTATTTTTAGTAGAGACGGGGTTTCACCATGTTGACCAGGATGGTCTCGATCTCTTGACCTGGTGATCCACCCGCCTCGGCCTCCCAAAGTGCTGGGATTACAGGCTTGAGCCACCGCGCCCGGCCTAATTTTTGTATTTTTAGTAGAGATGGGGTTTCACCATGTTGGCCAGGCTGGTCTTGAACTCCCAACCTCAGGTCATCCACCCGCCTCGGCCTCCCAAAGTGCTGGGATTACAGGCATGAGCCACCGTGCCCGACCCCCCACATGTAACTTCTGTTAGCTTCAGAGCCACCTCTGGGGCCCTGCATCAGACTGTGAGCTGAAGGACACCTGTGCCTTTTTACCCCTGTAGCTCCAGCATCCTGGCACAGTGTCTAGAATGTTCAATGAATGTGCACGGAAGAGCATTCTGGCTCCAGGGAGCGAGGACCAAATCCGCTCTGGGAACAGATGAGTCAGACTGGTGGTCCGGGCATTGCTTTTCAAGCCCTTCATGTTGCTGGAAGAACCAACAGCTGGAACTGGATAAACAGGGGTGATGATGTGGCGAGAGTTACATCCCTGGCAATTCCCTTCTGGTTTCACTTGCCTTCTTGGGCCAGGAAAAGCAAAGCTCAGGGGGCTGTATGCACTGCTGACCCCTTCCCCCTGTCCTGTGCCATTGGCTTTGGAGGGTCCATGAAACCCCAAGTCTCTAGGAGGACAGTTGACCAGTGTGGCTGGACCTCAGCATGGTCCTCTCTGTTCCCACTCACCTGCTTTGCCAGCCCCAGATCCTGGCAGGAAGGGAGATTGGAGCGGGTGTCTGCAATCTAGTCCCAGACCTTCCCTTGCAGACTTGCCCACCTGTCTGTGGTCTAGTGTGGAGGTGAGGTCCAGGGGTCAAGAGGATGTGGGCGCACATGTCTGGCAAGTCATTGTGCCCTCCCAGCTGGAAAATCCTCTGAACCTGTGAGAAGAGAACACAGCCAGCATGGACACACCCTTACCCTTAGTCTCATTTCCCACCAAGACACAGAGCATTTCCTGTGCCTTTTCCGGTATTTCACAAGCTGCCTTTTCTTGCTCACAAAGGACAGAGGCTTCTCCTGCCAGAAGCCAGACAGCTGGTTCCAGCCTTTCCAGTTCAGCGCCATGGCCAAGACGCCTAGTGACCATCTGCTGTCCACCCTGGAGGAGCTGGTGCCTTACGACTTTGAGAAGTTCAAGTTCAAGCTGCAGAACACCAGTGTGGAGAAAGAGCACTCCCGGATTCCCCGGGGGCAGATCCAGACAGCCAGGCCGGTGAAGATGGCCACTCTGTTAGTTACCTACTATGGGGAGGAGTACGCTGTGCGGCTGACCCTGCAGGTCCTGCGGGCCATGAACCAGCGCCTGCTGGCCGAAGAGCTCCACAGGGCGGCTGTTCAGGGTAAGCAGGTCACGGCCTCCTCCTCACCCAGCACTGAGAGCTGGCTGCTTTGTGGGAGAGGGGACCAGGAGCTCAGAGCAGCTCACTCTGACTTGGGGGTTGGGAGTCCTAGGTCTACCAACACCCAGGTGACTTCAGTTCAGGAACGTCCTTTCCTTCACTCTGGACTTTGGAACTGGGTTAGTAAACTTCCTTAAGGCTCCTAATGTTTTTTCTTTTTTTTTTGAGATGGAGTCTCCCTCTGTTGTCCAGTCTAGAGTACAGTGGCACGATCTTGGCTCACCACAACCTCTGCCTCCTGAGTTCAAGCTATTCTCCTGCCTCAGCCTCCTGAGTAGCTGGGATTACAGGTGTGCATTACCACACCCAGCTAATTTTTGTATTTTCAGTAGAGATGGGGTTTCACATGTTGGTCAGGCTGGTCTTGAACTCCTAACCTCATGATCTGCCCGTCTCGGCCTCCCAAAGTTTTGGGATTACAGACGTGAGCCACCATGCCCGGTCTCTAGTGGGCTTTTTAAAAAGCAGGTCAGGATCAGGAAAGGCGGGAACTGGAGCACCTGTTCTTTGAGACTTCACTTCATTTATGATTAATAGTCATAGCAGATGAATATCTCTAGCTTAGCAAAAAGGGATCACTACCCAATCATATGAACAGGGTTGGTATATAATCTTCTCACTGCTGTTCACCATGTTGGCCAGGCTGGTCTCGAACTCCTGACCACAAGTGATCCTCCTGCCTTGGCCTCCTGAAGTGCTGGGATTACAGGCATGAGCCACCACTCCCGACCTATTTTTATTTTTAAAACGTATAATCTGGGTTTTGCTGATCTGTGTAAGATCTTATTTGAAACGAATTCTCCTCCTCAAAACGTTTGAAAAGTACCATTTCAGATATATTAGGCCAGGTGCGGTGGCTCACACTTGTAATCTCAGCACTTTGGGAGGTTAAGGTGTGTGGATTGCTTGAGCTCAGGAGTTCGAGACCAGCCTGGGTGACATGGTGAAACCCTGTCTCTACCAAAAATACAAAAAAATTAGCTAGGGGTGGTGGCATGCACCTGTATTCTCAGCTATTGAGAAAACAGAAAACAGGCTGAGGTGGGAGGATCTCTTGAGCTTGGGAGGCAGAGGTTGCAGTGATCACAACACGGCAACAGAGTGAGACCTTGTCTCAAAAAATAAAGGAAGCGAGAGAGAAATATATAGCTACATTAAGCATGTTCTTACTAAACGGTAATTAACTGCCATTGACTACAAAGTCCTCAACTTTTGTTTTTGAGACGGAGTCTTGCTCTGTCGCCCAGGCAGGAGTGCAGTAGCGCCATCTTGGTTCACTGCAACCTTCACCTCCCGGGCTCAAGAGATTCTCCTGCCTCAGCCTCCTGAGTAGCTGGGACTACAGGTGTGCACCTGCGTCTGCTGTTTCATATTTTTAGTAGAAATAGGGTTTTGCCATTTTTGGCCAGGCTGGTCTTGAACTTCTGACCTCAAATGATCCTCCCATGTTGGCCTCCAGAGAAGCTGGGATTAAAGGCATGTGCCACCCCACTCAGCCAATTTTTTGTATTTTTAGTAGAGACAGGGTTTCACCCTGTTGGTCTTGAATCCCTGACCTCAGGTGATCCTCCTGCCTCAGCCTCCCAAGGTGCCGGTTTTACAGGTGTGAGACACCATGGCCCAGCCTATTTTATTCCTCAATTTCTTTCTTTTTTTCTTTTTTGATATGGAATCTTGTTCTGTCTCCCAGCTGGAGTGCAGTGGTGAGATCTCGGCTCACTGCAACCTCCGCCTCCCAGATTCAAATGATTCTCCTGCCTCAGCCTCCCAAGTAGCTGGGACTACAGGCACGAGCCACCACGCCTGGCTAATTTTTTGTATTTTAGAGACGGGGTTTCACCATGTTGGCCAGGATGGTCTCCATTTCCTGACGTCGTAATCTGCAGGCCTCGGCCTCCCAAAGTGCTGGGATTGCAGGCGCGAGCCATCATGCGCGTTCCTCAATTTCTAAACTTTAATATCCGAGGGGATTCTCTGTCCTCCCTCTTCCCTGAATCCTGGGCCCTAAACCTGGGAGACAGCTTCATGACTTTGCATCTGGTTGTCCTTTCAGAATATTCCACACAAGAAAGCAACACAGACGGTTCTGCAGCGGTCAGCTCCCTGGGCGCTGAAGACTCTAGGAGCCTGAAGCCTGAGCCCAGGAGCCTGAAGACTCTAGACGACCTCCCAGAGGGGAAGGAGAGGAGCTGCCCTAGGCAGTGCGGGGACGGTGCCACCAACCCGCGGTGCCCCCAGCCCGAGGCAGGAAGAGGGCTGCTGAGGAAGGCCCTGGACAAAAACAGAGAGATCACCTCTGAGGGCCTGGACACGCAGGGCAAGCCTCGGACCCGGACCCGGAGCCCTGCCCTGACCAGCGGGAGAAGCCCCAGCAGAGCGCGCGAGGGGGTCCAAGCCAAGGTCCAGCTGCGCAGGAACGCCAGCTCCGCGGGGAGGCTCCAGGGGCTGGCGGGTGGCACGCCGGGGCGGAAGGAGTGCAGGGCCTACGAAGTGTGCCAGCCCTCAGGAAAGAAGCGGCCTAAAAGCCTTGAGTTCACCGTTTCTACAGGGGAGAAGGCGCCCCCAAATCCAGAAATTCTCCTGACTCTGGAGGAAACGAGAGCTGTGAATCCAGACTTGGCAGCTGCCTCCCAGGCAGGGTCCACTCCGGATGGAGGGGTGTCTGTGGACCTGGGGAAAGGCTCTGAGAATCCAGAATGTCTGGTCAACGGTAAATTGTGTTCCTTCCCTACTTTAATTTATATGGGCCCCAGAGAAAGAACAACTGTCCGGGCGTAATAGCTCATGCCTGTAATCCCAGCGCTGTGGGAGGCCTGGGTGGAAGGATCGCTGGAGGCCAGAAGTTTGAGACCACTCTGGTGAACATAGTGAGACCCCTCATCTCTATATATAAAATTTAAAAAATAAAAACCGGCCCAGCGCGGTGGCTCACATCTGTAATCCCAGCACTTTGGGAGGTCGAGACAGATGGATCACCTGAGGTCAGGAGTTAGAGACCAGCCTGGCTAACATGGTAAAATCTCATTTCTACTAAAAAAAAAAAAGCGATGCGTGGTGGTGCGCGCCTGTTTTCTTAGCTGCATGGGAGGCTGAGGCAGGAGAATCACTTGAACCTAGGAGGCAGAGGTTGCAGTGAGCCTAGATTGTGCCATTGCACTCCAGCTTGGGCAACAAGAGTGAAACTCCATAAAAAATAAAAATAAATAAATAAATAACCCAAAGTTTGGGCAGGGCGCGGTAGCTCACGCCTGTAATCCCAGAGCTTAAAGAGGCCAGGGCAGGAGGATCTCTTGACCCCGGGAGTTCCATGCTAGGCTAGGCAAGGCAACACAGTGAGACCCATCTCTACAAAAAAAAAAAAAAAAAAGCAATGATGGCACTTGCCTTTAGTTCCAGCTACTCGGGATCGCTTGAGCAGGGAGAGTTCAAGGCTATGCTTAGCTGAGGTGGTGCCACTGCACTCCAGCCTGAGAAACGTAGCCAGACTCCATCTCTACAAAACTAAAAAAAAAAAAAAAATAGCTGGATGTGGTGGCATGCACCTGTAATTCTAAGTACTCGAGAAGCTGAGGCAGGAGAATTGCTTGAGCCAGGGAGTTCCAGACTGCAGTGAACTGAGATCGTGCCACTGCATTCCAGCCTGGGCAACACAGCAAGATCCTGTCTCTAAACATTTTGGAGGCTGGGCGTGGTGGTCATGGCTGTAATCCCAGCTACTTAGGAGGCTGAGGCAGGAGAATCACTTGAACCCAGGAGGCGGAGGTTGCTGTGAGCCGAGATCTCACCATTGCACTCCAGCCTGGGCAACAAGAGTGAAACTCCATCTCAAAAAAAAAAAAGAAGAAAGGAAAAAAAAATAGAAAAAAAAAAAGAACGTCCAGTTGAAAAAGGCAATCGGGTTTTATTCAGTGGCCAAAGAATGGAAAAGGGAAGCTCACCTCTGCTGGCACCTGACCTGCTGACCAGGAACAGGAGGCAAGGGGATTTTAGAGTCCAAAGAGAGGAAGGAAAGTAGGTAAGCAGGCCCAGGTCAGGATTCCATACATGCAGGCACTGTCCCCAGCGTGCTTCTTCCTGCTTTGCATGGACACAAAACCCTGGTGATCTTCTTTTAGGGGAGGAGCTTTTGGCTTTATAATAATGTGTTAATGATCTAAAAGTAACTGGAGGTCACTTGTTCTGATTTGCACAGGTTTTGCTCAGATCTTAACTTCCTCTGGTTTTTGGCAAGGGATCAGGAGGCTCCAGGCCATTTTTTTTTTTTTTTTTTTTTTTTTTTTTTTTTTTTTTTTTTCTGAGACAGTTTCCCAGGCTGGAGTGCAGTGGCACCTCGGCTCACTGCAACCTTTGCCTCCTGGGTTCAAGCAATTCTTGTGCCTCAGCCTCCCGAATAGCTGGGGTTACAGGCACCTGCCACCATGCCTGGCTGATTTTTTTTTTTTTTATTTTAGTAGAGACCGGATTTCACTATGTTTCCCAGGCTGGTCTCAAACTCCTGAGCTCAAGCAATCCACCCATCTTGGCCCCGCAAAGTGCTAGGATTACAGACGTGAGCCACCATGCCTGGCTGTCATCTGTTGTTTTTTTTTAGATGGAGTTTCGCTCTTGTTACCCAGGCTGGAGTGCAATGGCGCAATCTCGGCTCACCGCAACCTCCGCCTCCTGGGTTCAGGCAATTCTCCTGCTTCAGCCTCCTGAGTAGCTGGGATTACAGGCACGCGCCACCATGCCCAGCTAATTTTTTTTGTATTTTTAGTAGAGACGGGGTTTCACCATGTTGACCAGGATGGTCTCGATCTCTTGACCTTGTGATCCACCCGCCTCGGCCTCCCAAAGTGCTGGGATTACAGGCGTGAGCCACCACGCCTGGCTGTCGTCTGTTTTTTTTTTTTTTTTTAAGCAACTGTCCCTATAGGTAAAGAGACTAAAGAAAAACTTTTAAAAATGCTACCAGTTTAGAGGGGACTGGTGTTGTTCAGGTGACAATTCCATACTCATGGTGGGGGCAGCATTCAGGAACACACTTTCCTTTTTTTTTTTTTTTTTTTTTTAGACAGAATTTCACTCTGTCTCCCATGCAGGAGTGCAGTGGTGCAGTGGGTGATCACAGCTTACTGCAGCCTCGACCTCCTAGGTTCAAGTGATCCTCCCACCTCAGCCTTCCAAGTAGCTGGGACTATAGGTGCTCACCACCACACCTGGTTATTATTATTATTATTATTATTTAAATGTAGATTTAGGGATTTGCTATGTTGCCCAGGCTGATCTTGAACTCCTGGGCTCAAACGATCCACCTGCCTTGGCCTCCCAAACGTCTATGATTATAGGTGTGAGCCACTACCCCCAGCATTTCTCAGCCTCCTTTGCAGTTAGGTGTGGCTACTTGACCATAATATATCCAAAGGGATGTAAATGGAGGTGTCACAAGCAGCTTCTAGAAACTTCTAGAGCCTTCCCTAAGGGATACTATTCCCCTCTGTTCCTCCATCTTGCTGCCTGGCATGAGGATGTCACCTTCTGAGAGCACGAGCTTGAGGACAAACTTGGTGGAGCAGAGCAACAGCAGGAGCCCAGGGTCCTGCCCTATGGATCTGCCTGGGACCACCTGTGTATCATATATGTGAGAGAAGGCACAAACTTCTATCCTGTTGAGGCTACTGTTATTTGGGCATTTCCATTATTCATAACCAAACATAATTTTAATGACTACCTCAGCAGTAAAAGATAGATACGTAGGACTTTAACCAATAGGCTTTCCTCCCTGCCCAGAGAAAGGCAAATGGTAGAGTCTCAACCCCATGATGACACATTGCTGTGAGATCACTGTGAGAAGGGAGTATTTTTAACCAGTCTTGGGAGGCGGGGAAGCAGCTGTGTGGACAATGAATTCTATCACGAGGGAAGAATCATTTCTGGAGACTACTAGCAGTCTCGTTTACAGATGTGCTGTGAATTTCTGGGACACTGTGAGGTGAGGAGGTAGGAGGGGCTGAAGGATTATGTTTCTATTTCTTCTCATATCTCCTGGTGTGTCTGCTTATGAAGTTGCAATTAGAGTCTGGGGTAGAGCTATTCATAACTGTTATGTCTTCATGATGAGTTCCACTCTTTAGCCCTATAATGTCCCCTTCTTTGCTTTTTCTTTTAAGACAGCATCTCACTCTGTTATCCAGGCTGGAGTGCAATGGTGTAATCCTAGCTCACTGCAGCCTCAACCTCCTGGGCTCAAGCAACTCTCCTGTCTCAGTCTCCCAAGTAGCTGAGATTAGAGGTGTGCACCACCACACCTGGCTAATTTTTAAATTGTTTGTAGAGATGGGGTCTGACCATGTTGCCCAGGCTGGTCTCAAACTCCTGAGCTTAAGTGATCCTCCCACCTTGGCCTCCCAAATTACTGAGATTATAAGCATGAACCACCCAGCCCCTTCTTTGCTTTCATTTAATGCTTATTGAACTCAGATGTGAGCAGTGGTTCATTTATTCCTTCATTCAACACTCATTTTCCAAATACTTACATATGTCAGGTACTCTTCTAGGTGCTGGGCTCCATCTAGGAGTGAGGCACACAAGTCACCGTCCCCTGGAAGCCCCTACTCATGTTATGGGCAGCCAGGGATGGGTTAAAGTGGCAAAGAAACACTGGTGGGAATGTCTCTTTCCTTTGTATCACCTGCTAGATCCGTGTCTGTGCAGGAAGAATAGCACAAGGCCATGGGTCTTTCTTTAGGATAAATGCCCAAGAATTCCAAGTCTAAGGAATATCTGAGGCCTAGCTCGTAGCTCTCAGTCCCAGTGGACTGTTTACTGATCCGCTGGATGGAAGTCAGGGGAGGACAAGCTAGGGAGTGGGCAGAGTCTAACTGAGCACTTGCACATGCCAGGCAAGGGCTCTCTCCACTGTACTTGGTGATACCTCTGTGTAAACAACTTGGGTTTGCTATTCAGGGGATTTTTCCACTGCATGTCCCCAGGAAGGCCACCAAAGGCTGCGAGTCCCCATTGCCACGCCCAGGAAGGAGGCCCAGCTGGTGGTACCTGCCTGCATGATTCCTGCAGCTGCCCCAAGGCAGCTTCTGGGCACCCCGAGGCCTCAGGCAGCCGCTCACCTGGCTGTCCCCGGTGCCAGGCCTCGAATGAAAGGAAGAGCACAGGAAGCCTAAGCCCCCAGCCCCTGCCACAGTGTAAGCGCCACTTGAAGCAGGTCCAGCTGCTCTTCTGCAAGGATCATGGTGAGCCCATCTGCCTCATCTGCAGCATGAGTCAGGAGCACCGAGGCCACCAAATGTGCCCCATTGAGGAGGCCGCCCTGGAACACAAGGTAGGCACTCCTTGCCTGTGGGCCCTTCTCTACCCGGCACACAGGCACACCGGGCCTTGCTTCATTGCCCCAAAAACTCTGTAATGTTGGTATATTAGCCAGAACACTTGAGCTGGAAATGACAAGAACACAATATAAACCAGGCCAGCAAAGAGGGGAGTTACAGGTTTATGTTGCTCGGAGGTCCAGGGGGTACTTGCTTCAGGTATGGCTGAATCCAGAGACTCACAGGAAGTGCCTCTCAGCTCTGCCGCCCTTGGCAGTGCAGCCATTCCTCCTCTTTCCTGAGCACCCCTCCCCGTGCCACTGACAGCAGCACCCTCAGCCTTGCTACCAGAAGGAGATGTTCCCCTCCAGAACTGGCACCAGCTAAAGATGGCAGGAGCCAAATTCAAGCTTTTCAAAAGTGCTGTTTTTCCAGGAGCAAATTCAGGAGCAGCTGACGTATCTGAAGAAGCTGAGAAAGTCTGGGGAAGAGGAGCGATCCTATGGGAATGAGAATGCAGTGAGCTTTCTGGTAAGGCCGGAGGAGGGTGGGAGGAGTGAGCAGGGGTCCCCGAGATTCTGCTATGGTTCACAGGGCAGCAGGGATGGCCACCTGCTCTCAGGGGGCAGAGGGGTAACCAGCAGCCAAGGGTGAGCTCATCCCTGTAGAGGGAGACCACCCCCAGCAGGCAGGGGTCACCTCTGAGGATCCTGACATGCTTTCTCATACTTACCACAGATGGTATAAAGCAACCTACAAGGATGACTATCACAGAAAGATGGGATTGAGGAAAGGGGAGGATAACACTTTTGTTGTTAAGATGGAGTCTTGCTCTTTCGCCAGGCTGGAATGCAGTGGCACAGTCTTGGCTCACTGCCACCTCTGCCTCCCGGGTTTAAGCAGATCTCCTGCCTTAGCCTCTTGAGTGGCTGGGATTACAGGCGCATACCACCATTCCTGGTTAATTGTATTTTTAGTAGAGACAGAGTTTTGCCATGTTGGCCAGGGTGCTCTCAAACTCCTGACCTCAGGTAATCCGCCCTCCTTGGCCTTGCAAAGTGCTGGGATTATAGGCATGAGCCATCGTGCCCAGCCAATAACACTTTTAACTTTAAATTCTCCTAAGTGTCTGTGTGTCTTTGTGTGTGTGTATATGTGTGTTGTGTGTTTGTGTGTGTTTTTCCAAGACAAAGTCTTGCTCTGTCGCTCAGGTTGGAGTACAGCGATATAATCTAGGCTTGCTGCAGCCTCCACCTTTCAGGTTCAAATGATTCTCCTGCCTCAGCCTCCCAAGCAGCTGGGATTATAGGTGGCTGCCACTGTACCTGGCTAATTTTTGTATTTTCAGTAGAGACAGCGTTTCACCATGTTGTCCAGGCTGGTCTCAAACTCCTGACCTCAGGTCATCCACCTGCCTTGGCCTCCCAAAGTGCTAGGATTACAGGTGTGAACCACTGGGTCCAGCCTGTTTTTTTGTTTTGTTTTGTTTTGTTTTCTGTTCGTTTCTTTGTTTGAGATGGAGTCTCATTCTGTCATCCAGGCTGGAGTGCAGTGGTGGGATCTCGGCTCACTGCAAACCTTCGCCTCCCCAGTTCAAGTGATTCTCCTGCCTTAGTCTCCCAAGCTGCTGGGACTACAGGCATGTGCCACCATGCCCAGCTGAGTTTTGTCTTTTTAGTAGCGACAGAGTTCCCCATGTTGGCCAGGCTGGTCTCGAACTGCTGACTTCAAGTGATCTGCCTGCCTTGGCCTCCAAAGTGCTAGGATTATAGACATGAGCCACTGGACCCAGCCCAAATTTCCCCATTTTATTAGACAACGTTTATATAGGATTAAGGACCCACTCAACTCCAGTGGGACCACATCTTAACTAATTACATCTGCAAGAACTCTGTCTCCAAAGAAGATCACATTCTGAGGACTGGGGGCTAGGGCTTCAACATATAAATTTTGGAGGAGACACAGATAAGCCATAACACCAGGTTCAAGGACATTTTCCCATAGCTAGCCCAAGCCATGCTCAGTCTGTTCTGGAAGGTTGCGCCAATATTGCCTCTTATTCTGGAATCTAGGCCTCCAAGAGGCAGAAGAAGCCCACCTCTTAGCCACCTTCAGGAGGTGGGCTTCTGGGGGTTCCCAGACATACATGTCCACCCACAGCACAGACCCCCATACCTCCCCATCCTCTGCTCCCCAGAAACAAACTGAAATGCTGAAGCAGCGGGTACAGAGGAAGCTGGAGCAGCTGTACCACTTTCTGGAGCAGCAAGAGCATCTCTTTGTGGCCTCACTGGAGGACCTGGGCCAGACGGTTGGGCAGTTCAGGAAGGCATATGACACCTGTGTATCGCAAGACATCGCCCTGCTTGACACGCTAATTGGGGAGCTGGAGGCTAAGCAGTGCCAGTCGGAATGGGAGCTTCTGCAGGTGGGTGTGCCTGGGCCCAGCTTTCTCAGGCTCCCTGTGCCCATCAGGATGCCTCAGGCTCCCAGTTCTGCCATCAGCTCTGCTGGAGCCAGTGGATGAGTCCCCTAAGGCCTGATCTTGGTGACCCACAATGCCTCTTGAGCCCAGTCACCTTTGATGAGGTCTCACAGGAGCCGAGGATGGCCCAGCATCCAGGGGATCCCTGCCATTGCCCAGAAGAGATTAGCAGGGTTTGAGGGCCATTCCCTTTCAGGCCTCGCTACCTGGGATGCCTGAATTCCTGTGGTTAGAATTAGAATTGAAGAGAGGTGCTCCACTCACTGACACCCCAGGGCAGGGAGCCCCCGTATAAGTGCAGGGGGCAGCTAAAAGTCCGGGAGCCCAGGAGTAGAGGCCAGGAATCCACACAGCCTCTAGGAGCCTGGTAACAAACAGTTTCCTTTTTCTCTCTTCTAGGACATTGGAGACATCTTGCACAGGTACAGAGAGGTCCCGTGGTGTACCCTGGGTGTCTTGCAGGAAACATTTGATGGAGACAGTCCTAGAACGGACCTGGGAGGGAGACGTTCCCAACCTACAACCTGGGAGGGAGATGTTCCCAACCTACGGTGAGGAGTCTGCGACTCCAGACTCCTCCCTTTTTCTGCAGCTTCCCAGAGCCTCTCTGGATTTGCTTAGGGAGAAGGGGATCTGGTCAGCAGGGAGGCTGACCAGGTGTGGGGCTGCAGACTGGGAAGGGTGAATTCAGCCTATCCTGTTGAAATGGGATGGAGGCTTCCTAAGAAACCCTCTGAGTGGACTGTGTCCCAGGCAATTCACCTTCTGAAAACTGTCCCCACGGGCCTGCTGGTGGCCTTGGGGAGCTTGTTTGGAGTGGAGCTGTGGTAAACTCAGCAGGAAGAGGAGGAAAGGGACAAGAAGAGGCTAAGCCTTAAAATCACTGGGAGCTTTACAAAATCCCAGTGTCCTTTTGTGTCTGGCTTCTTCGCTTAGCATGATGTCTTCAGGCTTCATCCATGTTGTAACATGTATCAGAATTTCTTTCTTTCTTTTTTTCTTTTTTTTTTGAGACAAGAGTCTCGCACTGTCGCCCACCCAGGCTGGTGTGCAGTGGCTCAGTCTCGGCTCACTGCAACCTCCGCCTCTCGGGTTCAAGTGACTCTCCTGCCTCACCCTCCCGAGTAGCTGGGATTATAGGTGCCCACTACCATGACCAGCAAATTTTTTGTATTTTTAGTAGAGTCAGGGTTTCTCCATTTTGGTCTCGAACTCCTGATCTCAAGTGATCCACCTGCCTTGGCCTCCCGAAGTACCGGGATTACAGGCCTAAGCCACCTCGCCCAGACATTTTTTTTTTCCCTGAGACAAGGTCTCACTCCCATTACCCAAGCTGGAGAGCAGCAGCACAGACACCGCTCACTGCAAACTCAACTTCCTGGGCTTAGGTGATTCTCCCACCTTAGCCTCCTGAGTAGCTGGGACTACAGGCAAGTGCTACCACTCATGGCTAATTTTTTGTATTTTTAATAGAGATAGGGTTTCCCTATGTTGCCTAGGCTGGTTTTGAACTCCTGGGCTCAATGATCCAGCTGCCTTTGCCTCCCAAAGTGCTAGGATTACAGGCGTGAGCCACTGCACCTGGCCTGTTTTCTCCTCTTGTTGCTGTTTTTATAATAGCCATCCTAATGGATGTGAAGTGGTATTTTGTTATGTTTTTTCCCCTTAATTATCATTTTTATTTCAACAGAAAGAAAAATACTAGGGAAGTATAATCAATTTGCCATAGATAATTCTGGTAGATAATATCAATGTCATTTTAAGTCCATTCTGAAAACTCCTTGTGGTTTTGATATCCATGTTTTTAAAGCGCCCCAGTACATGCCAATCTGTGGCCAGAGTTGAGGACCAGCATTTAGATCTCTGAATCCAGGGAAGACTTTTCTTTGTGTAGCTCAGGCTGGGCTGGGTGTGCCCTGTGGAGAATGTGGCTCATTCCCAGCTCATGGGTACTTGGGCCGCCCTCTCTCTCTAGCCTTCTCTGGTCAACAGTCTTTTGTCTCTAGGGCCAAGAAGGTGCCTGTCCCTCAACGGTGGACCACTCCTCAAGAGATAAAAGAAAAAATCCACCTGCTCCACCAGAAGTCAGAGTTTATGGAGAAGAGCGCAAAGTACTTCTCAGGTAGATGGGCTTGGGAGAATATTGGAGGTGAATGCTAACTTCTTCCCTAAGATCCACATAGCACAGAGCCCCTCACTTTCCTCTTCCTCCCCTGGTCTTGCTGACCTGCTTTCAGCTTCTCCCCAGTCTCCTCCTGGCCAAGGGACCTAACTCGAGCTTCTCTTTGCTCCCTTTCTCGCATTTTAGAAACCCTGCGTTTGGAAATGGAAATGTTCAATGGTGAGTCCAGCAGTGGTGGTGTGTGCTGGCCTGGGGTTGTTGCAATGTTCCCTTGTGCTGTTGACTTCAGGGGCACTCTTTAGAAGAGAAAAAAATACCTACCTGGAGCCAAGGCAGGAGAAAGGTCACGGCAGGGCCCCCACTCTGTGCCTGACTCATTGGCTGAGTTGACTCTTTAGACCACAGTCCCCAATGCCACCTGGGTTCCTGGGAAGAACGGGATTATACCCAACATAGCATACAGGGTCCTAAGCAAGGGGTTCCTTGTCTTTCCTTGTTGTCAGGATAGTGTAATTTAGCCCCTCTGAATGGGAATGCTCAGGACTTTTTCCCTATCTCATTTTTCTCCATAGTTCCAGAGCTGATTGGCGCTCAGGCACATGCTGGTAAGTGCCCAAATCAAGGCGAGCAGTGCTGGCCTGCCGGATCCCTGTGCTCTCCCCCACCATATTCCAGAAGAACTCCCCTGTCCTTGTTTCCTGCAAGTGGGGAGAACCCTGTGGGGATGTTGCCCATGGACCCCTAGTTAGGTGTTCAAATTTTCTTTGCAGTTAATATGATTCTGGATGCAGAAACTGCTTACCCCAACCTCATCTTCTCTGATGATCTGAAGAGCGTAAGACTTGGAAACAAGTGGGAGAGGCTGCCTGATGGCCCTGAAAGATTTGACAGCTGCATCCTTGCTCTGGGCTCTCCGAGCTTCATCTCCGGCCGCCATTACTGGGAGGTGGAGGTCAGAGACAAGACAGGGTGGGTCCTGGGAGCTTGCGAGGCATCCATAGGCAAGAAAGGGAACATAACTCTGTCGCCAGATAAAGGCTACTGGGTGGTGATAATGATGAAGGAAAATGAGTACCAGGCGTCCAGTGTTCCCCCGACCCGCCTGGTAATAAAGGAGGCTCCCAAGCGTGTGGGCATCTTTGTGGACTGCAGAGTTGGAAACATTTCCTTTTACAATGTGACAGCCAGATCCCACATCTATACATTCTCCAGTTGCTCTTTCTCTGGGCCCCTTCAACCTGTCTTCAGCCCTGGGACACACGATGGGGGAAAGAACACAGGCCCTCTGACTATCTGTCCAGTGGGTGGTCAGGGGCCTGAGTGAATGCCCAACACCGCATCTCTCTTCCGGCTGCCAGTCTTTTGTCCTGCATTCACACACTCAACAGTCATGGAACACCTACTGGGTGCCAGCTACTATAGGAAATGTAATGAATAACAAAATAGTTACTCTGCCCAAGGAGCTTACCTTATCATAGCAGAGGTAAGTTAGGTACGAACACATTGGCAAATCCAGGTGAAGACATGTACTGATGACACACCACGGATTTGAGAGGAGGAAGGATGGGGTTGTTGCACAACCTGTCCTTGGTGAACGGCACTCTCCTGAACAGAAGACTTGGCCGTCATTTTCCCTCAGAACCCCATGGCAAGGGTATATCCCCTTGTTGTCGCTGCCTCTGTCTTGAGGACAGGGAGTACCTAGAGAAACACGAGACTGGATTGGGATAGAAGTATTTGTGTACCTGGATTAATGAACTATAATTCTTTTTTGTTTGTTTGTTTTTGAGATGGAGTCTCACACTGTTGCCTGGGCTGGAGTGCAGTGGTGTGATCTCGGCTCACTGGACCCTCCGCCTTCTAGGTTCAAGTGATTTTTCTGCCTCAGCCTCCCAAGTAGCTGAGATTACAGACTCCTGCCACCATGCCTGGCTAATTTTTTGTATTTTTAGTAAAGATGTGGTTTCACTTTCTTGGACAGGCTGGTCTCAAATGCCTGACCTCAGGTCATCCACCTACCTCGGCCTCCCAAATTGCTGGGATTATAGGCATGAGCCACAGCACCCAGCTTTATTTTGTGTGTTGTTTTTTTTTTGCCCTGAGACGGAGTTTCGCTCTTGTCACCCAGGCTGGAGTGCAATGGCGCAATCTCGGCTCACCGCAACCTCCGCCTCCTGAGTTCAGGCAATTCTCCTGCCTCAGCCTCCTGAGTAGCTAGGATTACAGGCACGCGCCACCATGCCCAGCTGATTTTTTGTATTTTTAGTAGAGACGGGGTTTCACCATGTTGACCAGGATGGTCTTGATCTCCTGACCTCGTGATCCACCCGCCTTGGCCTCCCAAAGTGCTGGGATTACAGGCGTGAGCCACCGCGCCCGGCCTGTTTTTTTTTTGAGATGGAATCTTGGTCTGTCGTCCAGTGCAGTGGCAACATCTCAGCTCACTGCAACCTCCACCTCCCAGGTTCAAGCGATTCTCCTGCCTCAGCCTCCTGAATTAGTTGGGATTATAGGTGCCCACCACCATGCCTGGCTAATTTTTTGTAATTTTAGTTGAGACGGGGTTTCATCAAGTTGGCCAGGATGATCTCAAACTCCTGATCTCAGGTGATCTGCCCGCCCTGGCCTCCCAAAGTGCAGGGATTACAGCCGTAAGCCACCGTGCCCAGCCATGATTCTTAAAGAGTATTGACTGGGCCTCATGAATAAACAATTTAGGAAATCTAGTCATTTGCATTTGTCACTCAATCACTGTGGAATTCCCTTTTCCAAATGCATTTCATGAAGCAGATGGGACTACTGTATGGAAAAAACATTTGGCATGTATTCCAAGTGTCAGATTATTCTGTCTTGGTTTGTATGGAAAAATCTGTGGGTTGTGAAATATTAGTTTCTACTTTACACATATCCCGCTTGTCCTTTGTTTATAGAGATGTAAAGGGGCCGGGCATGGTGGCTCACACCTGTAATCTCAGCACTTTGGGAGGCAAAGGTGGGTGGATCATTAGAGACCAGCCTGAGCAACGTGGTGAAAACCCATCTCTACAAAAAATACAAAAATTAGCCTAGGGATGGGGGTGGGAGGATGGCTTGAGCCCAGGAGATCAAAGCTGCAACAGTGAGCTCAGATGCAATCCAGCCTGGGCAACAGAGTGAGTCCTTATCTTCAAAAAAAGGTGGGTGTGAGAAGAAAAAACAAATGAAGATTAAATTTCAAACTCCTATGCCAACTCCATCTTCACTGCTAGAGTCTAGATTGGACTCACAGATACGCCATGGCTATGATGAGAGCAGGTAAACTTGCTGTGCTTTTATTAAGGAGTTTCATTCTACAAGAGTAACCCACGTGCCAGGAGAATTCACGTGACCTATGCTTAGCCATTCCCTGTGGCAGGTCCTGTGTTACTCCCAATTTTCCCTTGTTATAAGCTTTCCATGAACATCTTTGTGTATACTTTCCACCACCTTACCATATACATATTTTTTCTCTTGTGTTATTCCTAAAATGGTTCCTGAATGTGAAATATCTGATAATGCATGCTATGATTTGCCATAACATCCTTTGCAAAGATTTTAAAAATATTTCATGCCTAAAGCAATGACTGTCATTTAAAGGCTTTTGCTGATTTAATAGGGATGTAATGATGCCTTACTTCTGTTTTATTTCATTAGCTGTTAATGAGGCTGTGAATTTTTCCATGAGAATTTCTGCTTTTTGTTTCATTCTGTGGAAATTGTACAGCTCCTTTGAATACTTGCTATTTGGAATCTAGATACTGAACTTCATTGTTTGCTGTACTTCTTCATATATGTTTTAGTCTGGACGCAGTGGCTCATGCCTGTAACCTCAACAGTTTGGGAGTCAGAGGTGGGCAGATCGCTTGCATCCAGAAGTTCAAGACCAGACTGGCAACATGGCAAAACCCTGTCTCTAGCAAAAAATACAAAAAATAGCCAAGCATGGTGGCGAGCACCTGTAGTCCCAGTTACTCACGAGGCTGAGATGGGAGAATCGCCTGAGTCTTGGAGGCAGAGGCTGCAGTGAGCCGAGATTGTGCTACTGCACCCCAGCTTCAGAAACAGAGCGAGACTGTGTCTCAAAAAAAAAAAAAAAGGAAAACAAAAACATAACTGTTTTAGATCTTTTTGAATCTGTCAAATAAAATGTTTCTGCCTAGTGGTTATTTTCATGGAGATCTAAATCCATACTATAAAATTCACCCTTTTAAAGTGAAAAATTAAGTGTTTCTTAGTATATGCATTGTGTGTATATATCAGCACTATCTAATTCCAGAACATTTTATCATATGTATTAGCAGTTGCTCCCGATTCTCCCTCATTCCCCAGCCCATGTAAACCACTAAGCTACTTTCTGTCTCTATGATTTTGCCTATTCTGGACATATGATGTTAAGTGGAATCATATAATATGTGATTTTTTGACTGACTTGTTAGATTAGTATGTTTTCATGGTCCATTCATGTAGCATGTGTCAATGCTTTATGCTTTATCACTGAATAATAATGCATTATGTGATTACATGTATATATTATTTCTTGTTCATCCACTCATCAGTTTGGGGACATTGGGTTGTTTCCACTTTTAGGCTACTGTGAACACGTTTTTGTGTGAACACACATTTTCATTTCTTTTGAGTTTATACCTTGAAATTGAACTGCTTGTTCATATGGTAACTATGTTGAGAAACTGCCAAATTGTTTTCCAAAATAGCTGGACCATAGCACATTCCCACCAGCAATATAGGAGGGTTTCATTTTCTCCACATTTTCACCAATAACACTTTATTATATTTTTATTATAGTTATTCTAGTGTGTGTGAAATGGTATCTCATTTATGTTTTTTTTTTTTTTTTTTGAGATGGAGTTTCGCTCTTGTTACCTAGGCTGGAGTGCAATGGCACGATCTTGGCTCACTGCAACCTCCGCCTCCTGGGTTCAGGCAATTCTCCTGCCTCAGCCTGCTAATAGCTGGGATTCCAGGCACGTGCCACCATGCCCAGCTAATTTTTTGTATTTTTAGTAGAGACGGGGTTTCACCATGTTGACCAGGATGGTCTCAATCTCTTGACCTCGTGATCCACCCGCCTCGGCCTCCCAAAGCGGTGAGATTACAGGCGTGAGCCACCGCGCCCGGCCCCACATAATGTATTCAAGATATTTTAAGTTGGAAATTATTTCTTTTTTTTTTTTTTTTT